TTCTTCCTCTTCTTCCTCTTCTTCTTCCTCTTCTTCCTCTTCTTCTTTTTCCTCTTCTTCCTCTTCTTCCTCCTCCTCTTCCTCCTTCTCCTCCTCCTTCTCCTCCTCCTTCTCCTCCTCCTTCTCCTCCTTCTCCTCCTCCTTCTCCTCCTTCTCCTCCATCTCCATTTAAAGTTTTGAGTTCCAAATTCTGTCCCTCCCTCTCCTCTCCCTGAGATGGTAAGCAGTTAGATACAGGTTATACATGTGCAGTTATGTAAAAGATTTCCATGTTAATCATTTTGTATAAGAAGACTCGAACAAAAGAAAAATGAAAGAAAGTGAAAGATATCAGGCTGTATTCAGACAATATTGGTTCTTTCTCTAGAGGCAGCGTGTTTCATCATTAGTCTTTTGGAATTGTCTTGACCCATTGTATTGCTGAGAATAGCTAAGTCATTCACAGTTCTTTATCAAACAGACTTGCTGTTACTATGTACAATATTCTGTTTCTGTTCACTTCACTATGCATCAGTTCATATAAGGCTTTCCAGGTTTTTCTGAAATCATCCTGCTTGTCATTTCTTATACCACAATGGTATTCCATCACAATCATTTTCCACATCTTATTCAGCCATTCCCCAGTTGATGGGCATCCCTTCAATTTCCAATTCTTAGCTACCACAAAAAGAGCTGCTATAAATATTTTTGTATAAATAGGTCCTTTTCCCTTTTTTGGTTATCTTTGGTTTATAGAGCTAGTAGTGGTATTGCTGGATCAAAGGGCGTGCACAGTTTCATAGCTCTTTGGGCATAGTTCCAAATTGCTCTCCAGAATGGTTGGATCAGTTCACAGCTCCACCAACATGCACTAATCCATTCTTGATAGAGTTGCTAAAGTAATCCTTCTAAGTCACAGTACTCAGGAAGCTTGAGCAGACTCCCTATTGTTGTTGTTCAGTCATTTTTCAGTTGTGTCTGACTCTTCGTGAACCCATTTGGGGTTTTTTGGTCAAAGATACTGGAGTGGTTTGTCATTTCCTTCTCCAGCTCATTTTATAGATGAGGAAACTGAGGCAAACTGGGTTAAGTGACTTGCCCAGGGTCACAGAGCTAGTAAGTGTCTGAGGCTGTATTTGAACTTAGGAAGATGAGTCTTCCTGACTCTAGGCTAGGGACGCTATTTGTGGTGCCACCTAGCTGCCCTGACTCCCTATTGTTTCTGGGATAAAATACATGCTCCTCAGCTCTTAAAGCCTAATTACAGTTTACTTCCAAGCCTTACTTCCCTCTGCTCCCTTTCTCACATGCACACCCTGTGTTTTCACCAAATTAACCCACTTCACTGTTGTTTGAGCTGAAAATCCCATCTTCTACCCCCCCCCCCCCATTTTCGCAAGCATTCCCTATGTTTGGAATTCACTCTCTCATCACCTCTGCCTTGGCTTCCTTTAAGGACTGTCTGATCTCAATTGTCATCTCTTGTAGAATCTCTTTTCTCGTCCCCCTCTTTCTTCCAGTTCTCTTGTATTTGCTTTTGTGTGTGTTCCATGGAGGTTGTGTGATGATAGAGGGCTGTGCTTAGTGTCGAGACAAGTCAGCAAGGATTTAGGAAGCACTTTCTATGCACCAGCCCTGGCTTGTACTGAGCTGTGGAATATAAATACAGACAGAAAGGAAGGCATTCCCTGATGTTAGAGAACTTGAATTTTAGTGGGAGAAGAGAATACATCTAGGGAAGAGGAAAAAGAGTTTGAAGGAGATCGTGGGATAAGGTGTCTCTAGGGCGGCCCTGAGAAGGAATGAAAGTGTGACTGGCATCTGGAGAAGGGGCTGCAGGAGTCTGTTGTACCTCCAGGGTGGTGAGGCTACTCCGTCATGGTGAAGAGTCCAGAAGGGAGCCTGGTCTGGAGGCAGGAAGACCTGGGTTTCACTCTTGCCTCTGGCAATAGCTTCATGAGCGTGTCAAATCACTAAACTCTCTACCTCAGGCAATTCCTAAGATTTATTTACTAAGTCACAGGGTTTCTGTGGAGGGAGCTGACAAAATATGCCCATGTGTGCCCTCTCTGTTAGAATAAAAGTTCCATACTGGCAGATTCTGCTGTTCATTTTTGTCTTTTTTATCCCCAGGGCCTAGCATATTGCTGTGCATGAAATAGGTGCTTGAAAAATGCTTGTTGAATGTTAACCCTATCTGGTGGAATCTCTGTAGCATGGGGAGAGCCATGTAATTGGCATTGAAATAGTCAGGAATGATCTACAAATGATGAAACATATTAATTGAACATGACTGCATGTGATGCGAGGCTGGATGAGATGTATGTGGGCCTGTAATTGATAGACTTCTGCATTAGATTGACTATTGCCTTTTCCATAATTTGGGGTGTCATCATTGTACACCTAGCGCTGTTTAATCCATAAGTCAGATGCAGGCCACCTAACATCTGAGGGAATGGACAGTAGATGTTGCAAAGGTAGAATCAACAGGATTTCTTAACTGAGTACAATCAAAAGTCAAAGGAAATGATTTTGATGGTCTGCCCTTTCTTTAGGATGTAGAGGAGTGGAATATTGGAAATTTGAACACCCTTTTGGACATGGTGGAACATGAATGTGGGATTATCATAGAAGGCGTCAACACTCCCTACCTGTACTTTGGGATGTGGAAAACTACCTTTGCTTGGCACACAGAAGACATGGATCTCTACAGTATCAATTACCTGCACTTTGGGGAGCCCAAATCTTGGTGAGTGAATTGCATCTTGCATTGGTCCAGACACAACTTCAGGAGGAATCCTGCCATTGGTAATTAAGGAGAGTAAAGTTGAGTTATAGTTCTTATCTAATCGAATGATTATCAGCCAGGGTGGGGAGGAGTGCTAACAATGTAATCCCTTGGATGGAGGAAAGAGGAGTTGGGAAATGGCTGCTTGCCCTGCTCCCCTCCTTGATGTGTATCCCCAGGGCGTTCTCTTGCAGAGCCTTGGATCAGGTAAGGCTTTGCTGGTTTCTGATGGAGGAGCCCCACGGTAGGTGGGTGTGTGCACGTGCTCTTGCATATGTATAGTGTAATAATGCCGTCTTTATCCAGCAATATCAAGAAATCAGGTGGTTTTTAGAAGAGAGCTAAAGGAAAGTTACCCCTTATCCAGCTTTTGTTATTTCACATTTATCAGTAGAAATCTTTATAAGATGGCTTATATATTTCCCTGTCATTAAATAAAATATACTGAGCATAAGTCATTATGAAATTATATATGACAGCATTGTCTTCAGCGGCTCTCGAGAGTATGTATTCACTACTACATAACCTTGTACTTCTAAATTTTTCCTGCCCTCACCTCCTTTTTTCCCTGACCTTACCTCCTTGACTTCCCTTTTTCTGACAAGTTTTTGCCACTGTGTTAAAAGCTGAGTTTTAACCTTGTTGGTCCATAAACTTATCTTATCCACAGTTCTAGGTGATGTGCTCTTGATGATGGCCTGAGGGTGGCTTTGTGTTTTAAAAGCTATTTTCTCTTCCTTGGTGTGTGGGGAGCATTGTCCATAAATTCTGAGAAATCTCTGGTATAAGATTTCTCAGCTTTTCCATTTTGAGGAATATATTCTCAACATCTAACTCCATTTGCAGTTCAGATGTGCAGATATGCTCTCACCAGGCTTTACATATTTTGTTTTCTGATGCATGGCTTTTGACTTTGTTGCCTTTCTATGGGCAGCTTCCAAGGTTTTTTGTTGTTACTACTACTTGGAGGGAAAAGGAAGTAAAAAGTTTAAGTCTTTAATAAATTTTTGCCATCTGGTTCATGGGAACATATGATTTGGAAATAGGATCTTAGAAAGATTTTGTCTAGTCCCTTTATTTTATAGAGGCAGAATATGAGGCCCGTAGAGTTCATGTGACGTTAAGTTAGTGCGGGTAGTTAGTGGCAAAGCATGGACTTCAACCATGTCCATTGGTGTCATCTAAAGCCAGTGCGTTCTGTAGGAGCGATGCTTGTAAGACAAACGTAGTCAGGCAGGTAGCTTAATTACAGACTCGTGAAAAGTCTGCAAGCAGATGAGTGACCTGTTAGGTCGTTGTTCCCCTTCCACTGCATCAGAGGCACTTTGGGGAGTGGAGAGAGCATCCAGTCCCAGCCCTGCCACCTCCACGATCCTGAGCAAGTCCCTTTACTTCTCCCCGTTTTGTTTTGTGTTTTTTTAATGTGAGGCAGTTGGGGTGAAGTGACTTTTGCCCAGAGTCACACAGCTAGTGAGTGCTATGTGCCTGAGGCAGGATTTGAACTTCGGTCCTCCTGACTCCAGGGCTGGTGCTCTATCTACTGTGCCACTTAGCTGCCCCCACTTTTCCCAGTTTTAAAATTCCCCAGTCTGTTAATGGGAATAACATTTGTATTACCTACTTACAAGGCAGTTGAAAGAATCAAGTTAGATAATGTGTGTGAAGCATTTTGTCATTCTGTAAATCGCTGTGGAACTCTCAGTCATTTTTATTGTTACTACCCCCTCTAGTCAGCATTTTTTAAAGAAAAATTAATTCATAGAATTTATAGGCGACTATGTCAGAAGTAGAAGTTGTTACTATCACCCCAGGACTTGTTCTTTGGGAAGGGAAGGGAAAAGGGAAGAGGTGTGTGTGTGTGGGGGTGTGTGTGTGTGCGTGCGTGTGGGTGTGTGTGTGTGTGTGTGTGTGTGTGTGTGTGTTAACATTTATTAGGGGGTTGGGGACAAAGGAGGAAGGAAAATGAGATAGGTGTTCTCCCACAGCTTAGTAATATTGTTGCATGACAATAGTATCTTAAATATCATTATAAGAATGTTGATTTGGTAGCGTATTGCTAGTAGGTGCTGTATTATCATCTTTTGACAAATATAGATTTCTTAGCAGGGAGTATCTTAAGAAATTTTGTCATCTTGTATTAATTCATTCAGTGTGTATTAAGTACCTACTGTGTACATTGGATTGTTGTGCTTGGCTCTAGAGGGAGACAGAAAGTTCTTATCATATAGGATTGTTACCTTCAGGGATTATGGTTTAGTAGGTGATAAGGCACAAACAAGGTAAGTTCACAAGAGGTGCAAAGTAAGTGCTATGGTAGTAGCTGTGGATAGTTATTATTGGCCTAAGTGGCATTTGGTTTCAGGCAGGAGGTCATTATGCACTTTTTAAGCACTTATTTTGTTCTGGGAACTGTGTTAAGGGCTAGAAATACAAATCTAAACAGAGGGGCAGCTAAGTAGCTCAGTGGATAGAACACCAGCCCTGAAGTCAAGAGGACCTGAGTTCAAATCCACCCTCAGACACTTGACACATACTAGCTCTGTGACCTTGAGCAAGTCACCAAGCAACCTCATTGCCTACCAAAAAAAAAAAAAAAGAAAGAAACAAATTTGAACAGAAAGACAGAGGAACTTATATTCTTTTTTTTCTTTTTTTTAAGGCAGTTGGGGTTAACTGACTTGCTCAGGGTCACACAGCTAGTAAGTGTCAAGTGTTTGGTCTGAGGCCGGATTTGAGCTCAGGTTCTCCTGACTTCAGGGCTGGTGCTCTATCCACTGCGCCACCTAGCTGCCCCCAAGCTTAAATTCTTGATAAATAAGACAGAAAAGGAAGTGGAAAAGCTAGCTGAAGATTCTTGGAGGCCAGGGAGAGATGAAGGGAGACATGGCTGGCCTGGGCACTTTCATGACACTTAGCTTTAAAGGGAGGTTCTGGTAGGAACCGATCAGAGGAAGAGGACATGGGAGCAGAGTGAACTTTTAGGGTGAGAAAACTTTAAAAGTTGGGAAGGAAAAGTGTTCCAGGCACAGGGAACAACATGAGTAAATATAGGTGGGGTTCAGTTTGTCTGTGGAAGAGAGAGGAAGAAGAGAAAAGGCTAGAAAGGGGGGAAAGGAAGGGAATAAGTATTTATTAAGGACCTGCTACGAACCAGGCATTGTGCTGAGCACTTTACAGATCTCATCTCATTTGATCCTCACAACAACCCAGGAAGGGGAAGTACCATTATTATCCCCATTTTACAGGTGAGGAAACAGAGGCAGGTATAGGTTAAATTCTTAAACTATGGGTCTCGACCCCATATGGGGTCACAGTTTAAGAAGCACCAAAGGGGTTGAGAGTGGAAAAAGTTTTAAGAAGCCCTGGAAGACTTGCCAAGGTCATCCTGCTAGGAATTTTGGGAAGTAGTCTTGATTTGAGGCCCATTGTTCCACTCTGTGCCCCAGCTAGATACTGCTATTACAGTAATGAATACCTGTCCTAGCCATAGTTTCAGATTGTGGAAGACCTCGATTGTCAGACAAAGCTGTCTTTAATCTGGCATTAGTCTGGAGGGAAGTGGGGTAGTAGGGCAGGCAGATGTCTGTGAAAAGTCCTTGGCCTTTCAGCTCTTAGGCTGCAAACAATATGGGTGGAGATGCATGTATGACCTGCCACGACAATACACATCTTTTCATATATGAAAGCACTGTCCTGGAATAAGAACACACCCATATTTGCAGTATCTGCCTGTGGACCCAGCCATCCCTACAAACCTCACAGAAGTGCCTGTGTATTCCGTAGTCAGCCAGCATGGATGGTGTTTTTCAGGCTAGCCTGTAAGTGATCTCTCTCTCTCTTTTTTTTTTTTTTTTCTCCTATCTCCGTGCTTTCATTGCCTTACTTTTACCCCACTATGTTGACACTTTACCTACCCTTTTGTTTTAATCTTCCTTCTTTTTGTTTTCCTTCTCTCTGTTGCCCTTCCTCCATGTTCCCAATTCTGTGACCTTTCCAGGCATTCATTTTCTCCTAGCTGGGTGTTCTTAGAGTGCTGCTGCCTTCTGTAAGAGACACATGTAGTAGACATTGTCAGTTGTCAGGGTCCCCACAGCCTGTAACTCAGACATGCCAAAGAGATTAGAAAAGGGTTCAGATGCTGTCAGATTTTGTGAAATAGTAATCATCTGTGTCATTTATTGACCATAAGTTGTTGGCAGGTGGGTTAATGCACAAGACATGTAAAACATAAGGAGGGAATTGGTTTCCTTGGCTCTCTTGATCTCTGTCTTAAGACAGTTGTCTCTTCAGCAACCTTGTAGGCATCATTTTAGGAATATTACCATCCCAGAAGTTTCTGTACTTCCTACTTTCAGGCAGGTATAGGCAGCTTGGGGAGGGTAGAGGGGCTAATGTCCTCATTAGGGCTATTGACACTATGCACTGCTTTCCTTCTCTTAAAACTCAACTGACCTGCCTCCTTGATTGTATAACAACAGCATCCTGGGTAGGGAAGTTTGGTGGCCAGTTTAGAGTGATTGAGTTTGATCCTTAGTCTCAAAATGTACCATCTGTACATAGGAATGCCACCTTATCAGCTGGTAGATAGACAAGTAAAATTGAGCTTTGTTCATTATCTGGTTTTGTAACATTGAAGTTTTATGCCTTCCTGTTTTTCCTGCTATAAAATGAACAAAATAATATTTAATTTAAAATTATTAAGAGAAAAGTGCCGTGAAGCTAATTTGACATCATTGATTTTGTAGATGATCCTCATGGAAAAGAATCACAAAGACAGTGGTAGCATGGCAGTAGAAGCTAGATTCTGGTGTTGGCCCTAACACCAGCCTGATGTGTGACTTGGGGCCTTAATTTCTAATAGAAATTTAAAGATTTAGACTAAATAACAATGGCAGCATACTACTTTCTTTTGCATAGTGCTGAGTTCACAATATGCTTTTCCCACAACACTCCAATGAGGA